CCCCAAAACCCCAAAACCCCAAAACCCCAAAACCCCAAAACCCCAAAACCCCTTCTGTCTCCCAACCTTGAACCCCAACTTTAACCATTCACATAAATTAATCACCTTGTTCTTCAGCAGTCAGGATTTGAGACTCAAACAAAGTTTGTAATTTCCTTGTGAACGCTATTTTGGAAGTCAGATCAGGGAGGATTTCAGAGGTCTGAGTGCAGACAGTGTGGGAAGGGCGGGAGCGGGACAGGTAGAGGGTGAAGATGTGCTTGGAGTACTTGTGCCAGATTGAGAGAAGGAGGAGTAGTGTTGGAATCGAGGGAGATTGAAAAAGTGAAACAATAGCTTTGAAAGACTTGGAATGTATCATATTCGTCAATCTAAAGCATTTTCCTTCATAAAAATGCTTAATATCCTTCATAATCCTTCTTAAGTTGTGAATTTCTTCGATCTCGTCTTCTGTGTTTAGAATAATGTTAGCTTGACATCCTTGACTTTTCACTTCCCATTTCTTTTCCATATTTATTTTGTTTATTGTTACCTCATCTAAGATTTCTCTAAGATTGACTGCAAATCTATTGACAATCACTATAACAATTACATGAGCTAATTTTCAGCAGTTTTCACTTACAACGGGGTAATTTGCGACTCTTATCGAAAGGATCTTTAAATTTATTTCTTCGCAAGTTCTTTATAAAAAACACTGCTTATGGTATTCCCTGAAGGAAGAATTGCAGGCTCTTTAATCTTTTCAAAAGACAAAGGACATTCATAAATAGACTCAATCTTTTCGAGTAAGCTTGACAAGAGTTGTCTGTAATCTAGACGAGATGCATAAGGCAAATCTTTGTAATCATCTGAATCTAAGTCAATAGAGTATCTTGCTTCATCTTTCAAGTCTTTTATTGTTTGCTTTAAAGAGTTTCAATGCTCAATATAAGTAGCTAGTTGCAATTTCCCATTTTCAAGAAATTTCCTTAGATGATCATTACTTTTCTTTAATTTCGATAACTCTTCTATCATCTGGGTTAACTCATTTTTTGATTGTCTATCAAAAGTAATGTTAAGTTCTTCAGCAAATTTTGCTTACTTTACAATCTTGTTAATTAAATCTTTATCTCTTTGAGTTTCCTATTTGTTTAAAGCAATATATTACTAACTGAAATTCAGAATTTTTTAATTTTAATTGCTCTCATGTCTTCTCTAAATTTTTAATTATCTCATTCTTGTTTTCCAATCTATAGATCAGTTCAAAATGTGTCAGTCTTCGAATTAACAATTTATAAGTTGCATTTATAACACAGTAACATATCCTGTTATTCAATCTTAGGTTCATTTACTAATCAATCATGCTGATTTAACATTCCCCAAATAAAAACACAACTACCCATATTATATACCCCAACCTGTAGCCTGCTCTCCATATAAAATACAAAAATTGTGAGAAACTTACTCTTCACAAAGAATGGATAGTCTCTGAGTAAGGTGAGCTTCTTTTTGAGCAGCAGCTTTTTGGGATTTTTTAAGAGTGATTCTGAGACGGTTGAGTTCTTCTTTGGAGGCAGAGGAGGATGGGGTCTAGGGGTGAGGAAGGGAGTACTTTTGGGGTGGAGTTTGAGAGGAATAGGGTTTTGATTTTTTGTTTGTTTTTGAGTGGGAGAGGGTCTTTTGGACTTCGAAGTTCGGATTTTGAGTGAGCGTGTGTGCAGGTTTCTTTGTTACACATCTGGATCTTTCTACCTGCCCATCTACACATAAAGACCTTATAAAATCTAATAGGGTCGTCGCTCGCTGGCACAAAAGTCTAAAATTACATTTTAACAGAAATACCTTAGATTCCATTTTGAATCAATTTTTGTTTGCAAAAACGGGGTTTTGGGGTTTTGGGGTTTTGGGG